CACATAAAGATAGTAAATTTTTTCTAGAAATACAAGGCAAAAGCATACGGACCTTTAATATGACAAGTCCTTATACTTCAATCTTTCCTTAAAGGAGACAGCACAACGAAAAAGGCAAAGAATCATCAAAAATGTAGCGAAGGCAGATAGCACTGTGAGTCACCTCGCTTATGCACCCGTTCTACCATAAATAATGCACAGATCCCAGTCTCATTTACATTTGCAGCCATGGCTTGCACCTATGTAGAGAGCACAGGCTGCAGGGTGACACCTGTACCTGTGCACGTCCTCAGACATTTTCTGTACCAGTCCGTTCCTTGAGGCAAGTCTAGACACCACAAGCAACTTGCACTTACTCACTTACTTGCTATACTTAAGCAAAACGACGTGATCATTGGTCTGTACCTGTTTCTAGGACAGGGAGGAAAAAGAGAGATGGCTATCGACCTGGCCTAAAAATTTACATGTGTATAAGCTTGTGAAGAAAGTTAGTGTGTGAAAGGGGCTAGGGGATTGAACGGCCCTTTGTTCAGTGTAAATGTCCCTTTGTTTACGGAGAATCAAGGCAGGGGAATCAATTGCTCAAGAACCCAAACCTGCCTGATAGAAGATACCTCTGGCCAGCCAAGAGTTTCCCTTGAGGTTGATAAAGCAGAAGCAAATGGCGTTTTGTATGCCTTTTCTAAATAACTCTGCATCTCCAAACTACCCTTTCCCACCACTTTTTTCTTAACAACCAACCCATAATGCTCAGTGAGGAACAGCTCGGTGGTAATGTCACCTCTGCTTGCCTTCCATAAACTGCACTGCAAAAATGTATCTTAAAAACGGGCTTGGCGTTCCCTTGCCTGCAGACAGAGAAAGATGCAAGTAATGCAAAAACCAGTTGCAGTAGATATCTGTGAGTAACAGGATCTCAGTTCCTTCCCTGTGCTAACCTACTAGACTCACATCAACTCAAGGATTTAGGGAAGCTTGAGTAACAGGTGGGGAATACAAACAGGCCTTGTAGAAGACAAACTACTAGAACACAACACACACTGCCCGCCAAAAGAAAAAGCCCTGCTGAGATAGCTGTACGTTTGCTCAGGAGCCTGTGCTTAATTCTAAGGATAATTAGGATTTGCCTGGAGCCAAACTGGGCATAAATAGCAACCGAAACCTGCTAGTATCTTTCCTCCATCAGCTGGGCCATGAACTGCTTGGCAAAAGGGACTCACAAGTCATCTGATCAATCACAGCATATCAGCACTGACTCATGCACGCTGCAAAGGGGTTTTAAATGCCAGGGAGAGCTGGTCTTTTGTATTCTGGCAGCTCCTTACTGCTGCTTTATACCACTCCCTCTCCAATGAAGAGTCTGGAATAAATGCAAAAAAAAGGAAGAAAAAAAAAAGGAGAAAAGATGTCAGTTGCTTCGTAGTGTTTAGTGCTCCCCTGGAGCTTAATTATGTGGGAATTGTGATATGCAGTCTGTCAGCTAGAAGGTGGCAGATCCCTGTGGCACGGTTTGAAAGGTGTGTTGTGAAATACTGCTCCTTTGCTCTAAACCTATAGATACTCTATGGCATGCTCTGTGCAAACCACAGGTTCCCACAGTTGTGTGTGGGTTCCTCACGTTTCTCACCTGTGGTGCCTGCAGCAGTGTGCTCCTGGATTCAGCTTCCAGAATCCCCATGCACACTGTAGTTTGATTCTCCAGCTAGCAGAATGGCACAGAAGTATTTCCATCTTCACCAAATAAACAAACTCACTCGTGTTAGTTTCGTGCTGCTCTATAACTCTAAACCACATGCAGGGCTCAGTGATCGACACCATAAACTTACAAATTTTCTGTCTCTAAGTCAGGACCACAACCATGGGAGATGGTGTATTGCTCCCTAGGAATGCAATAAACAGCTCTTCAGCATAATTCTGAAATGAAGCAGTGCAGAGACCATCTTCCAGAATATATTTTCAAATGTACTGCATAATTTTCCTGGTTTTTTTTTTTTTTGAAACCATAATCATTGGAATAATTCATTTCTAAGGCTTTCTCTTGTGTTGGTGTCTAGCTGCCATAAAGAAAGAAAACTACAGAAAATTTCCTGTCCCAGTTTATATTTTCCACTTGCAAACATTCACTCCATTCTCAGAATTAACAAGGAACAGCTGTTTCTCCTACTACATGCAGGAGGTGCCTTCATAAACTTGTCACATCCTGATGTTAGTAGCATATGGTATTGAAAATATTCCCACTGCTTAGAGAGGGAGCTGTTACAAATATTTCAAGCAACAGTTTGCTAATTTTGGATCCTATCCTACACTGCACCGATATTTTTCTCATGCTTTTACACCTAATTGTATAATGAAGATGCCTCATGAAGTTTCATAAAGGATGAGTTAGACCATGGATTTTTGGGCATGTTTTAAAAATATATTGGTAGATACTCTACCCAGCCTTTAAAAGACCATTTAATTTCAAATTGTGTGTGCATAACACAGAGTCTGGTTCTTCCTTCTTCCTTCTACAAAGAAGAGAGGAGCAAATCCTCTTTTTTTTTTTTTTTTGTGATACCATAAAATAAAGGAAAATCTATGCTGTATATGAGGAAAATCAGTCTGTCTTGGTTTACAGCTTGAGGACTATAGGCTGTGCTTTACAGAACCTAGATATATGTCTTGCCCTGGCTGCCTTGTAAGTTGAAATATGACAGTACAGAAAACAAGAGATGAGAAATTGGAGTCTTAAGAATAAGGCCAGAAGGCAGGACTTCTCAGGGATTTAATATTGAACTGGCATCAAAAGATAGAATTGGGCAGAGGATAACAGGGTTAGTCCTGCAGATATACTGGGCAGCAGGATATGTCAGATGGGGCCAAAGAGGGGCAGATCACAGGATCCCTGGGGTAATACATGGAATTAAAAGTTGTCTTCCATGAAGAAACTATTTCTTATCTGCTCCCTCAAAAGGATGCTGCAAGTGTCTCTGGGCAGTGTAATGCCATCCTGCCTCACTTTTCCCAGAGATCACTGAACTGCCACTGGAAAATGCCTTAGCCGCTGGTATTCAGCTAATTGCTTGGGTTGGGGGAATAGAGAAGATAACTGGGTGGTTTTATCGGGGCCTCCTGTAGCCCTCTCCCTCCTCCCATTTTCTATGTGATAGATGGTGTGTTTCTACTCATTCCTTCACCCTGGACCTTACCCTTCCCAACGCTTTTCTAGCCACAGCTTCTTACTGTAACAGCTGACCATTGGCTGCCATTTGCCATTTGCAGTGTTATCTGGGAAGGGTAATCTTCTATACTTGACAGGAGGGGAGCTCAAGTGCAGAAGAACTCATCTGTAGTTGTACAAGCAATTTTGTGGCTAAGCAGAAGGATTTCCATGATTAAGGTGACATCCTAACTTACTGGCTATAACTCCTAAGCCATATGTTGTCAACAGTGTAGGCTTCAGGGGTTTCAAATCGAACTGTATGCCATTATTTTTCCACAATATGGGCTGTCCTACAACAGGCTTGCTTCCCCTTCTCCCTGAAATCGTAAGAGTTTTCTCACTGGGGCCAGACCTACAGACAGGTACTTAATTCAATCTGACTGCTAAAGCCTTGTGCAAAACAACACAGGTAAGAAGGAAAAAAGGAATGCTTATCTTGCTCTGAAACTTACTTACAACATTGCAGCAGCTAAAGAATACAGTTATGGCATGCATGAAAGAGCAATCCAGGATGTTCTCCCTTGGAAAGCCTTGGGGTGAAAAATTAAGGCAGGGCAGGTGAACTGAGAGACGCATATGTTTAGCACATTTGCTGTCTTGCCTTACTAATGTCGTTGCCGAATGCAACATCACACACTGCTTCCAATCTTTAACTATCCAGTCAAACATGACCATTAAGCATATTCAGGAGAAAATACAAATGTGGGAAATAAACTATGACATCCTGTAGAAAAGACACACAAGAAAAAGAGGGCAAACCCAAGGGCAATCAAACAAGAAACGTTGCATAAAATACAGTTGATACAACCCAGAATTCAGAGAGGTGAGAGAACTGCTTTGAGTAAAAACTAAAAGAAAAAAACCCAACCTCCTCCCCCCCATGCTCTCAGATTAATGGTTTCTGTTCTTGAAATCTAGGGCAGTCAGAATAACCAAGTTTTGATACTTCCTTAGGTCTAGCTAGACCAGATGTAATCTAGTGCTCAGATGAAAGATCTGCCAGGGAACAACAAATACACAAAGATGATTGTTAAGAAAATCCTTTGCAGGGCAAGTTGACCTGATATGTTATTGTGAAAAGAAACAAAGTGATGGAAACAACAACATAATTTGTATTCAAAGGGAATAGCACGCACAGGGATACCACAGGACCTTGGGATATGAATCATACCAATCTTTCTGGTTTTGCTTTTGTTCCTAAAGCATTCTATTTGGCTTTATTTTTGGCACAAATGGCATTATATTTTGTCCACAAATTATGCTTGAAAAGAATCACATATTTTAGGCTTCACTTAGATTTACCTCTGATTGGGAAATTAACTTTTTAGTTTTAGCAGTTTTCAGCTAGACTAGCTAACATTTCACATTCAGGCATCTAATGTTAATCCCCTAAAATAAAGGCTGCATCTGGATGCATAGATACTATCTTTAGAACACCCTTAACTACAGTTTCCATGAGTGGTGGGTAGCCTCAGAAAACTCCAGAGGTTATTGTTTCTCAGCTACAAAGTAAGTAAAAGCTACAGTGAAAAAATCAAAACATGGAGATTTCCTGGGGCCTTTTCTCCTATTTTCGCAGCCTGTCTCAGCTGAATTCATGTCAGTTAGGACGAATTTCCTACTTCCATCCTATCAATCATTTTGAGTCACCTGAAGAAACTGTATAGCAGGTAGAGAAAGCTAGGTCAATGTGGATACTTGAGGTAAAATAAGGTGCTTCCTCAGGAATGTCGGGATTTTTGAGAATTGGTGTAAGGTATGCCAAAACTAGAAAGGTGAAATATTAAACACAGGTTACCTGGGCTCCTACTCTAAAAGCAGCTTCCACTTGAGCTTTAAGGATGTTGCACTTCATATGGTCAGGTACAGAAGAAGGTGACACAGGGGCATGAAGAGTCTTTTCAGACACTTTCTTGTCTTCACCCTAGATTTAATATAAAAGACAAGCACAGTGGCATATATTAGAAAGATAAGTTAGCAAAATGGTCAAAGGTCACATTTTTATTTGTAACAACTTGATTCAGCAATATTGGATAAAACCTCTATGTTCATACCCTGATAGATACATCTTGCAGTACAAATATTTAAAAATATTTAATGACTTGATACAATTTTTGGGATGGAAAAAGCCTCAGGGAAGCCTCAGTAATAGAAGCAAGAAACCAATGTGGAGGGAAGATATATGGAAAAAGCCCAGCCAGGCCCTGGAGTGGTTGCCCAAACCTGTGATCACACTGAAGAAAGAAAACATTGTCTCAAAATATCCCACAGCAGGCAGAAGAAGGAAAAGTTCACAACACTCGACTATAGCGAACATAAGAATGTAAAGGGGCTGTGCAAATTTAACCAGGGGGCTTTGAAGGGATCTCCATGTAACTGCAAACCAAGGAGAATATCCTTCACGAGAAAGAAAAGAAAAATCCATGGAGTTTAAGTATTGTTGCTGCTGTTTCCATTTTATGTCAACCCCTTACCTATGCAGTGATCTGGATCAGAAATCTAAAGCCTGAGGACAGCTAGTTTAGTGACCTGTTCAAACACGACCTAAAGGCTTTGTGCCTTGTACAAACTACATCCAGCAGAAATGCCAGCATGAATAAACCTCCCATGCAGAACAGAAAAAAAAGAGAAAACAAAAAGGACAATGTAATACTAATGTATAAATGAGCAGCATATGAAAGACACCAGGATTGTAAACGTGAACTCTTAAACAATCAAACAGTAATATCTGATATATTTTTAAAGAAGAATTGAGCAATGGCATAACAGCCATTGCAAACGTTCTTAATTCTTCCTGAAAATGTGACCTGAATTACAACTGAGTAACAGCCTAGACTATGCATTCATTTTCCACTCTCACTGCTGCGAAGAATGAGTGGTCGCATACACCTGGACAGAACAGGTATGTAATGCTGTCATTCAGATTTCAGCCAAAAGAGGTACAAGGCATCAGTAAAGCAGGTCCAGCGCATCCCTGAGGTTCACCTCTGGCAAAGTATTTCGAGACAGAACTGGTCATTATTTGGCCACTGAAATTACCGTATGATTCGCCCTTTAACTTCAAAACCTGCCTCCTTTATCCCTCCCTCTGCCCTCCCCCATGGCATCCCACTGGCTGAGGGTAACTGCTGTCTTACTGACTCTTCTCTCAGGTCCACGAACAATCACAGACAAAAGGGAACATCAAGATTTGGGGGATGCTTTCTGTAAGTGGAGCAAATCACAAATGCAATTATATTGCCTGAGGAAACTGGTCTGCAAACACTGGGGAAGGAAAGAGCCAGACCTCTGCAGAACTCCATTCAGATGGCAAGATATTTCTCATGTGTAAGCAAAGTTGGTCCAGCAGACTTCTGCACCCAAAATGCCATAGCTGCCAGGTATGATTTATGAACAACTGTCTGTTAAAAGATTGCTCATCATGAGATTTTTTCTCTGCCCAATTTCTAGTAATTGCTAGATGTTTATTTGCCAAGCCATATTTGCTGTTTTTAGTAGAAGATATTTTTGGACTTTCCATTCTCCCCACTTTCCTCCTAAGGGAAAAAGGAAATGCTTAAAATGAATAGTGACAGCATCTAGCTGGAGCAATGTATGGAACTGTAGTCATCTATTCAGTCTTGAATACGACAGTAGCTCTGGCAAGCATATGAAAAAAACCCATGAAATATTTGTTTGTCATAGGTGTTTTTTCCAGGGTACTCATGAAGCTGAGAAGTGGAGATGCACAAAGGGACAAAATTAGCTGTAGAGAAAGCACAACTTTTCCTTCACCAATAGTCTTGGTAGTCATGGTGCACCACTACACACTTTAAAAGGGCTGTTATTATTGGCAACTTTTAAGTGTATTGATTTCTAACAGCAGAAAGAACAATGCACTAGGCACTGGCATTTCTAAAGGCCAAGCAGAAAACCTCACCTTTGTTTTAACACTGGATACTAATTAAATATCGTTTCAGTCAAGCAAGATTAAGCAACTCTATTTTACTAGCTAAATCAAGACAGCTGATACTTTTTTAGGACACAAGCTGGTTTCGTAACCTGAAAAGTTCCGAAGTCCCATCCATCTGCTATTCTGATGGATATGCATATTTTTTAGTCCTTACATTCTTCCTTCCCTGCCCAATTTCCCCATATTGACCAAGAGCAAGGGCTGTCCTGTAGCTGGGAACCCTCAGACGACTCCATGTATTGGAGACTGTCTCCAGTGCAGGATCTGATGTGCAAGTCTCACACTGAGAATCTCATAACTTGAGATGTCCAAACGCTGATGCTTGCTGACCTGGCCAAAAACGGAAAGCTGCTGCTGGAGGTTGCAGACTTCTTAGGAGCCATTTCTGGGCATTCAATTCTGCTTTAGCCCTTGTTTGGGTCACACTTTAAGGGTTTCACCTTCAAGCAAGCAAAATTTGCTTTGCTTGCACCCCAGCAGGAGCTGCAGCACTTTCCGTGGCTGATTGCACGTGAAGAGCAGACATTACTGCAATTGCTGCTTGGCCTCGTCCTGCTCACCAGATGCTGAGCCAGCAGCCGAAGGCCACCACCTCCCCCTGCCCCAGTAGAAATGCTGACTGCACACAAACCCCATATGGGGCTTGGGAGTGCTCGACCTGACCCAGATCTCCTCGAGCTTCTGAACATATGTGAAAAGGCTTCTTTGCCAGCCTGCCTTGGCAACGACGGACTTTTCTGCCACAGCGCAGCACATCCTGAGTCATTACTGAATTCTGCTCTCACATAGCTGATTAGCTGAGACTATTACACATATAGTCACTGGCACTGAAGATCCAGACTAAAAGTGATCTCAAATCATAGAACAAAGTAGCTCCACCTTACTGCAGACTATTAGCACTTCTACAAATCTACACAACTTCCTATTCTTCCTTAATGCCACTAACTTTTACATATAAGACCATTCATCCCCCAATTTAAACCTAAAGTATGATTGCCATCAAGAAGGCAAAAGGAAAAAAAAAAAATTCAGGATTGCACAAAACCATGCAGTACCTTTGGTAGTTCACTATTTTATAAGAAAATCAAAGATCTAAAACCCGCCTGCACTAGGGATCTCTATATAATATTGCTGCAAGAATGAAAGCTGTAATCTATTTTGCTGTATAATAAAGAAATCTTGCATTTCCAGAATCCTTATTGCTTGCAGTGATGAGTGAAGCATAAAGATAGCAGATGGGTATTCAATTGTTGTACCAGTTTGGCAGTTATTAAATTTTATTTTCATTTATAAACTAAGAGCATTCGGTGTGGAATTCATTACAAAACTAAACATGGCATAATGTTAATGAAACTTCCAATTTTATAATTTCTTATTATGTAATTCCAAAGAATCTGAGATGCCCTCTTCAAGTGAATGTCTGAGAGTCCAACCTAAAAAGAAATAATCTTCTTGCTTAAAATTGCAATCTAAACTCACCCTAAAAGGTTTAGAAATCAGGAAAAAAACATTGTTAATATACCTGATAACACTCCAGTTTTCCATCTCCAGTTCTGCTGGTGCTAAGAAATAGTAATGTGTTCACATCACTTTCACCATTGATGCAGAACTTTTATTTTTCCAGAGAAGGAGAGCACTGGAGAACTGCATTTAAGTGGGTTTGATAGAAGTTGAACAAGCTCAGATATATACACATAAAACTAGATGCCTTTTTTTCTTGTTATAATTGAGGTCTTAGGTTTGCTTTTCTCCTCCCAAACATTTACTTTAAATTCAATTACATTTGCTGATACTAGAACTGAAGGCAGGTTTGTACAGTATTAGATAATGATGACACCAGCTTCAGTTTGCAAAGCTAGCTGAATATTAAGTACACATACAGAATATAAAAACATTTGCATGAAACACAGCAATACCACTCCTGTACTTAACATTTTCATTCTCTCTGATTTAAAAGGTTCATGCTTTCTTCCACATCAAACTTTGTACCAAGAGCAAGATTCATGATCTTTTGCCTCTGTGAATTTATCAATAGTCTCTTCTTAGCCAAACAGTATGTTTAAAATACTTATTTAGCTGGAGATGTCTGAAGAATAGAATTAATATTTTGTTTAGGAATACAGGTCTATCCTCTGTTGCTAGTCACCACTACTAGTGGAAGGTAAAAATTTAATTAAGACAATATAGATATATAGATTCTGAATGCACATTAGCTATGTAAGGTCAAACCCTTTGGTTTCCTGGGACTCAACTACATCTGCAAATATGCATGAAAATCTACAGACTCTTTTGCCCCCTTTCCGCCGGGAGTTCTATTGAATTTTTTCCATGTGATGGCTAACACCAATTACGAACAGATAACATAATGGTAAGACCTGTGTGATTATGTGTTATTCTTATTTGAGGCAAAGTTTGCAAGCAGAAGCTGCATCTTTTATTAGAAAAATACATTTGGAAAAACAAACAAACAAAAAACCTCTTCATTAAGCTGTCAGACACACAAGACCTTCCTCAGGTCAACTATCAGTTGGTCTAATGAAAGATACAACTCCCAATAAACCTTGTTATGCTTATATCCTTGGAGCAAATCTCTTTAGTTCCTGGTATCAAATTTATTTTACAAAATGCTATTGCTTAATATTATTAGATCCTGCCTCTGTCAGTGCCAAGCTTCATGATAGCCTTACTGGGTCATGGTAGCTGTGTTTCCCGGGGTATACCCTCTGATCAGTGTATCACACAGAAGAGTCTCAGGTAGATCAACAACATAAGCACGTTTTGTGAGGTTTTTTTAAACCACAAATGATTTTTGGAACTGCAGTAGCTTTTGTCTTTGCAGTTGTGCACAGGGCAGGTAGTTCCACAGCTTTTTTGCAAGTGGCACCGTTTGCAACCAAGTCAGTAGTGTGACTGGGCAGCCCTGTGATATGGCATGGCCATGTCAGCAAAAGGCCATCAGCTTTAAACAGAGTTTGCAAAGCCATTGAGGGTCATCAGGCTCACTCTGAAACTTTTGCGATCTGCCTGCAGCTTTGTTTTACTAGGCTTAGCTGTAACAGCAATAATTTTATATAGAAAACAGTAACACAAGCAGTTATTCTTTGTAGAATGAGATATTTATGACTAACATAATGCTGCAGTACAAAGCAACACACGGCTGGTATGATAACAGAGGCCTTCAGAAGTGGAGACACAGTGGGTTGTGTATAGATGAGCACAGGCATAGGGTGATAGCGCAAGGGGCACAGGCTGGCCCCGGAGACCCCAGAGTTATAAACCACTCACCAATGTCCAGTTAAAGAAATGCAGACCTGGGACTAGAGAAAACCGGTTTTAGGGGCAATGAGGAGAGCAAAGATATAGTATCTAGCATATATACGTAAAAGCCACCACGTACAGTAAACCTGGGTGTAATGTGGAGATGCAGATCAATGCAGAAAGACCAAGGTGTAAAAGCATGTTTGCAAACATACAAAAGGACCTCAAGTGGATCCTAGAGTGAGGAAGAAGAAACCATGAACATGAACATCACCAACTCTCCCTCTGCCCCCCACCGGAATGAAATCACCAACCTCAGGACCCAGGGGTGTAGGGGAAGGGTGAGAATAACACCAGGAAAAGGTGCAGAAACAATTTGAACTGTATTAGTATTCTTTCTTTTTATGCAATAATTACATCTTGAGTAATAATTACTGGACTCCCAAGATTTCAGAAATGCTAACAATACATTCTTGGCTTTATGTTTGCACACACACGGAGCAAAGGGGGGGATGGGAGAACATATTTTTCTGAGGAAAGGCTTGCAAGAAAGAAAATCAGAAGTACATTCACAGCTACAACACTTAGGTTTGTCTCTGCCTGGAGATTAAGGAGTCCACTAGCACTAAAGGGCATGAAACGCATGTCAAAACTGAGTTTTATCATTCAGTAGGTGGACAGACACGTCCGCTGTACCAAACATCTTTGGAAAAGTGATCAGGCACATCCATTCATCATTCCCATGAAACAAAGTTTGCTGTAGCGGACAATCAAATTAATTAACTCCTGAATCTAATTTACCCAATTTCTTGTTAATTCTCCTATGGGTTGATTATTAAGCCTGACAAATTCCAGCCCCAAAGCACTTTGCTTGAAAAAATAATAATTAGCAACAGGAAGAGAGGGAGCGAACGTTGGGACCTCACAATAGATGTGGAAACCATTGGTTTATTTTCAGAAATAGAGCAAATGAAGCAGCTTCATAACTGCTTCACTGGTTTTGTTCAAGCACAGTATTTCAGAGGATGCAAAACTAGGGAATAAAAAGCACTTAGCAGAATAGAAAGTGGTGCAGGAGAGCTGTTAACATTTCATTTTTTTTGCCAAAAACTAGACACACTGACCACTCATTAAAATCTGTTCACTGCTGGACTGAGTAGCTAGTTAACTACCATAACCAAAGGAGCCTTAGAGGCCACACTCGTAGCAAAAAGTGCTTGTCACAGTTCAGGGCTGTTCAATCCTGCCTAACCTGCCCCGCTGTCTTTGTGCTGGGCAATGCTCCACAGCATTTCAGCCCAGGATTAGCCCAATATTTACAGCATGACCCTCTCACTGGAGAAAGTGTCTGCTGAGGACACTCTGGGCATGTTTCATGTACAGTTTTCAGATGGCTCAAAATGGCAATTTTAATAATTTTTGAGGGACTGGCCTCCTTTGCATTCACATGGTAATCGCTGTTCACGGGATTGCTGCCCAGCTCTTAAACCCAAACCCTCTATGACTGCCAGGAGAGGGTTTTCATTAGACAGCCCATGTCTCTAGCCTTGCCTTCTGCTGAGCTTCTGCCAGAAACTGAAGCATTTAGCAGCTCTTGGTGCTCCTTGCAAGACTTTTTCATCAGCTAAACCCTGAATGATGGAAGTCTCACCAGAGCAGACACAGGCTGCATTTATTGTGAAGCACCAACTTGCTGTGATACTGGGTTCTGCTAATTAATCCTTAAATAAATAATCCATCTGACTGTGGACAAGATTCTAGAGCTGTCAGGACCAGCCAAAGAAAACCATTTATTATAGAAGAGTTGAGCTCTCCCTCCACGGATTTTCAGAGAAGAAAGAGCGAGAGAATCAGAGGTCAGGCTTTGCCAGGCAGAAGTCGCAGGGACTCTATTGGGACTACTTGCACAGTACGGTGGAATACAGGACCGAAGTGTTTTAAGCTTTCATTTAAAGAAAGAAAAAAGGCCATAAATCTACTCATTTTGAGATCATGAGGGTACCACTGAGATCATCTGTTTGGATCCTCTGCGCAACACAGGCCAGACTGGTTTATCCGCTTGTGCGCTGTGGTCAATGTGGAGAGAGTCCTCTCACTTCTTCACTTCAGCCCTTTATATATGCCAGGCTGAGCTGTCAATAAGCTCAACAGCATAGGACTGCCCTTTAAAGCATATTTTGGACACTGCATCGAAGTGAATGTTCCCAGCTGGGGTTAAGACAGAGTATCAGTAATGATATCTGAAGTACAATGCTCCTCTCACAAGACCTGGGTATTCACTGGATGAATCTCTGAGATGGATAATTTTCCTTTGGCAAACTATGTCAATGCTTAATTAGCTTTGCCTATAAAAATGGTACTTATTACCAGTTAAAACTATTTCTAGAAAAAGAACTTGAGAGATGTCCACGGGAAAAAGATGACTTCTTTTCCATTTCACCCCAGTTTGGCTACTTTATGATTTAACTTTTTATCCCCACTCAAAACAACCAGTCAGACAAAATGACAGCTCCTTGCAGTTGATAACGAAACGGATTTGGGAAAAAGTCTACAATATTCCGCCTTTATTTGTTAATTCAGAAGTCTCCAAAGGTCATGACACAGGTCATTGCCTCACAACCACATTCACGAGGCATAAGGCCTGCAGTCCTTAGCTGAACTTCACCACCACTCCATGATGCACCTTAACACAGTTCTTCAAGCAAATCTTCATGACAGAAAATCCAGTGCATCTTGGATTAACTTTAATTAACTAGAATGTTGAAAAAAATATTCCAAGGTTTCATTTATTAGAAACACCCAACTCACTGATTTTCAGCCTTGACTTCCATCTCCTGGATTCTCTTATCCAGAAAAAAGAATGAGTATGCTATATAGACATACAGCCCCTTTGTGCTTGTATTTTTGATAGACTTTGCCACCTCCCCTTTGATTTTAATTTCCCTAACACTTGTTGAAATAGTATCAATAACAAAAGGCTGCCTGTAAAGCCAAGGTAAAGTAATTTAATTGAGTTCTCCCTTGAACTGACAGAAAACTCTCAAAACACCATGTTTCTTTTAACAGGCCTGTATAGTCACTGGAGGCCCAGGCCCACTTCATTTAAGCCCACAGCAATGCTCTCATTGACTTCACTGGGTTCAGCTCAGCACTGATGTGGTTGCAAAACCACAGGTCCAGGTCTCTGTGGCTCTACCCAGACTCAGCTCAAGGCACCCCACAGCACAGGCACAGTGGATTTTGCCTCACATGGATGCAAGGAGCCACCAACCTGGTAGCCTCTGATCTCTGGCAGAAACAGTGGGACACGGCTGTTTTGCCACCCCTGCAAAAACTCACTCATAAAACACCCACTAACATCAGATGCCAGGGGAGTTTTAAGACACAACACAGACTCCTCATGTAGAAAAATAAGATTTATTTTTTTTTATCCCTTAAAGTGTCGTTATTTTTTTACAGCTCTGGGCTGCCTAGATGACTAACTCTTCACAACTAACCTAAAACTACATCGTAACATTGTTGCAGCAGCTTCTGAAATTTTAAAAGGCAAAGTTGAAGGAAATGCTAAATCTAAAAACCAAACCCCAGTCCCATAAGGAGATGGTGAGAGGTGATTAAAAAGCAAGCCAGTTGCAGATGAATGTTGATTTGAATTGGAGGTGAAAAGGCAGCAGCTCTTGAATATGAAGTGACAAAGGGACTCTGACATATATATGTAAAAGTATATATATGTATATGCTATACCTTGTTCATGCTGACGTGCAGGGCTGGCCATGGTCCAACTACCTTCACACTCTCCGTTTCTATTTTCTTCAGATGAGAAGTTTCATCATAAAGAAGGGGAAGTCCTGAGCTCAGTTCTAAAAGATGCCCAAAAGAAAGAAAGAAAGAAAAAAGCACAGTCTGAAGAGAGGCTACAGAAGAACCGCGGAGCAAGACACTCAGCTGCATTCGAAGAGACGGCGGTGAGCAAACCCCGTAAGACCATCTAAACCCATTCATAATTATGCCTGTTGGGTCATTTTCCCCTTTTCTATTTAGAAAACAATTCCTCCCCCTCCACCTTCTCTCCTATCCCTACATTTCATCAGGGCTTTTGCCAGCTTTGGGCTAGATACTTCTCTCCTTACACCACCCTGCCCCCCTCAGTATATTCTAAAACTCAGCTGACACCAGAGGGATTATTTATGCAGCCAAGGTGCCACTCTCAGAACGTGTGATGTGTAAAGAGATCAGAGTATAGCTTTTGGCTTCTCTCAAACATCTTTATTTATATGCCAGCCTCCTTAAGACTGTTGTCGGGAATTTGCTGTGCTTTGTCAACAGAAATTGTGAGCAAACCACCGACACAGAAAGACAAGGAAAAATATTTTTTGAGACAGCCCTGAAAGGTCTCTGCCAACATCTTGGGGATGGTGTGGCATATATATGTATGTTTGCAAGTCCTCTGAGAAAAATGAGCTTCATCATGCGATGATTTAACAAACCCGTGTGTCCTCCTGTGGTTTTTTTTGCCATGGATTCTAGGTAATAACAGTTGGGAACAATCCAGTAATCTCTGGAGTCTGATTCGAAGCCCCCTGAAATCAATAAAAACCTTGCACTGACTGCAGTTTTGTTTGGATGAGGTTCTTAAGCTGTCCTAAGAATATTAAATATTACTCACTCAAGATCTAATTCTACAGCTGTTTAAATATACATTAAGGGCTTTGCTGACTAGAGACAAACTGCTAAAACCAGCTTATAGGGATATGAGCAAAAAGCTGGTCTTGGCATTGATGAAACATTATCAGACCCTGAGGTAATAATGTCCTAGAAGGGGTTACAACATCAGCATTGACCTCCCCTCGGTGGTCTCTCATCACGAGTTAGTGATGCCAGAGTTCGGCATTTCTCACATCATAGCTGCTTCCATGGATGTGAGACTGTGAAACTGCCTGATGATATCCGGGAATAAATTATCACAGCCAAAAGATAAGACATCACTTTTTTTTTTTTTTTTAAGAAACAGTCATTCTATTTTCCTGTTGAGAAAGGGAGGGAAAAAAGTGCCTTACTTAAATTATTCAAGTTTGCTACAATTTAAAACTGACTTTTAAGCTGGTTTTTTGTTTAATGGGAGAGCTCATCACAGCAAGCTAGCCAGTTTAGTTTTTTAACTCAACCTTGAAAATAGATTAAAAAAAAGGCAAAAAAATGGGAGTTCTACAAAAGGCATACATTTCCTGAGTCAGCATTAAGTCTTGGCAAAACCAGGCTTTCATTTCAAGAAAGGATCTGGCAGCACTGTGGTTTTTCAAAGCACTGTTTTCAGCCTGAAACTCAGTCTGTGTTACACCATTCTCTGCTCAGGGTTACACAAGGACTTTTGTAGCAAGCAGTTCGGAAATAAAGGCTGTCTCTTTTTTTAAGTGACAACCTGCGAGCTCTGCCCAGAGTTCAAGAAGCAAGCTGGGCTTCCTCTTCTCGTTTGTCATTTTCCATCATAAAAATTCTGTGAGGTACATTGCATACTTGTTGGCATCTGCTTTCGGGGATAGCCCCAGTTGCTGCCGGTGGATCTGCTCACGCGCACCTGGTAACCCATGCACGACGCTGCCGTGCCAATTATTAGGCTTAGCGAGAAGCTCACCCTCTCTATGCGGTGCTGGGGCTGTAAGGCTAACTGCTGTCCCTGGGACTGGGATTCTGTGAATACACCGGGGGAAGATCTGCTGCAGAAAAAGATATGATCCCTGTACGTTAGCTTTGAGGTGAAGGGCAGCATCGCAAACACAATAATCAGGCTCAATGCAGGAAAACAACATCTTCCGCTGAACTGCCTTCATAAACACACATGTCAGGTTTGCTTCACCGGGTTTCATGTCTTCCAGTAATTGAAGCAGACAAATTACTTGGAATGTGAAAAATCAGGCAGGTCTGGCCTGGGTTTGTTTTCTGTAACAAAATCCCAGGCTGTGTGCTTGCTGAGAAACATGCACCAGCATTTAAAGGGAACCTTGGCCAGGCATACTCTCATTTCCCTCTCTCCTGCCCATGTCCTGCGAATTGTGCTGGGATTTTGGTATTTATCAGAATAGGTGCAAGTGGAGGAAAGGCAGATGCTTTCTCCCTCTCTTGACCTGATACTGGGTACATGTAGGTGACTCACTCCACGTTCCATTTCAGATGAATTTAAAACGGCCTCAGAGCTCAGAGATGAGTCTGGTCCATAGGAACTGGAATAAGTCACAAAACACCCATGCTCCCTTGGAAAACCACGAGGTAGCTGAACTGAAGTGCTGGTGCGCACAGCCTCACAGGGAAGCTTCCACTAGGAAAGCCTACTCCCCCCATGAGGCCTTTTGACTCTCCAGGCATTTCCACTTGAGGTATTTTGGTCACAAGCATGCTCTTCCCCGAGAGCGTTCCCAGGTTAGTAACCACTTACTTCCTAGAAACGCTTTCCCAGCAGTGGCCTTTCCACGTGGCCTGGAGCCAGACATCAGTCCCCCATGCCCCCAGGTTCCTGACGCAGACCCCCGACAGTGTCTCCTCGCTGCCTGAGTTTTCTTGTCCCGCACACTCTGCCACGTATGCCATCCCTAGATAACCGACTGACGGCCCAGCGTGCTCCTAACCGTTTCAGCACGTACGCTATGAGCCTTTTCCACTGGCTGTCTACGAGACAATTTTCTCAGCTGAAATAGCCTGAGCAGCATTTAAAAGGATCCATGAAAAACCAAACAAACCCACTGAGCACCAACCTTGAAAAGGAGCCCAGACCGGTCACCCCAAACTGCAAGCGAGTAACTTTGACTCGGCATTTTAAGGCAAGCAGTCCTATCTGTACCGTCACCATTCTAATGGCGCAGACAACAGCCTGAGCATGCCAGGTCTGACGCGGCATGCCTGTGTTAGGATAAGCCAGCTTACAGAGAAGCACGGGATGCAAAACCACCTGAAAAACTCAGCTGGATGCAGCCGGCGTGCCCGCACCACGGCCTCCCCTCGGAGGTGCCCCTGTCCCTCTCTGCTCCCTCGGAGAAACCGGGAAGTGGCATTTGGCACTACTGGCAATAGGCCATGTCAGGAACCAGCACCGACTCCCTTTTCTCTAATCAAATAGCTGGCATGAACCAGCCATAAGCAGACAAAACGAAGAGAGAGGTAAATCTATCTCCAGGGGTAGGTGCTACGTGCATGCCTCAGCTGCTGGAGCCCCCTTCAGAGCATCGCCGCAGCCCAATGGGCCAGGGAGGCTGCGCCCCCTGAGTGGTGCGGAGTTTGGGGGAGAGAGCTCGCCCCCACCATGCCCGGGGGGGACAGACACAGCCTCCTGGGCCCCACGTTTTATCTCGCAGGTGACACCCACTGGGGCACAAACAGAACCACTCCTGGTGTTTGCCCTTACACTTTCCTAAGCTTTTTCTAAACTTATTTCAGCAACGAGGAGGAGTAGGAAAGCAATGCAGCCTCAGAGGAGAGCCAGACACGGAATAAACACCCTGTGCTGTGGGGGTTTTGCTGTTGTTTCTTTAATCACCCTCTGCTCTACGGGTGGGCCCGGCTCGGCAGGGCCCATGGCAGGGCTGTGGAGAACTGGAGACCGGCCCTGCTGCCGTGCCTCTGGGGCAGGGGTTGAAGATCTGGGGGGTGGACATGGGGCCCTGGGCAGGACAGGAAGAGCCCCCAGGAGGCGACAGGGGCAGTAGGGCCTTGCAGTGTCCTTGGGGCTGGGACGCTCGGCAGCAGCACAGCTGGCTCTGACCGAATTTCCTGGCACGCTTCAACTCTAATTTGGGAAAGAAAAATACGGGCTGGCACGCACCCCCAGAAAGGACACCGCCTCCTGCTGCACCAGGCTGACAGCCCGGGCCAGGCCTTCCAGCTCAGCCTCGCCAGCAGCCCTCCGCCGCCAGCGCTCAGCCGCTGCTCATGGCTGGCCCTCGCAGGGCCGCGCGGAGCCCTGCGC